GGCGATCGTTGTGACTCAAACCAAAAGGCTCTGCAGAGGTTCCTGGAGGCCCAGGGCGGAATGCCACGTTGGGTCCTCTTTGTTACTTTAACATTGCTCCCCCCCCCCTTTGTGTGAGGCCCATGGCAATTTGCCCAGTCTGTCCCCTCACCTCTCTGGACAGCCCTGGATTCAAACAGTCACGAGGCAGATTCGGAGCGTATCTGGGTCGCGGTGGCAATCAATAACAAGCGCTGCGTTTGCAGCATTAGCCCTGTGCTCGTTAATCTAGGACACCGGCAAAGTACGCATTCACGTGGTAGCGCACGCACACGTATAACGCGAAGACGAGAGGGCTGTACGACAAATAGGGAAGGCTCGCTGCACACGTTCAAATGGAAATTCCAAGAGCGCGGATGAGTAACGATGCACAACTGCATTCCCCACTCATTTTACAGTAACTCGCAATCTTGAGGACTCTTCAAAATGTGAGAGATGACTTGCTGAGAGGGAACTTATGGACTGGTCAACAGCACATGCCACACTTGGGCTGTTTGCTGCTGCTGCTTACTCAATCGGTTACATTCGCTTGCTGTCTGCGCCAATGTTGACTCACACTGGCCGATAAGGATGCCAGTTTTGAGCAAGGCTGTCAGAGCGAAACTTAAGTTTTTTGTATGCATCTTCTATAAGCCGCGGTTACATTTACAGGACACGTCGACTTCAACAGCTGACACTGTTTCATGGAAGCACGTGCGGTGAGCTATGGGACCCGCAGGAAATTAGCGCGGGTGTGAGATAACATAACGTCGCTTGGTTTTTATAGAGCGGGTGTGAGATAACGTAACATTGTTTAGTTTTTATAGAGCGCCGTCGTTCAGTCCAATTGCATCTCGCGATTGCCAAGGAGCCACAGATGAGCAGGAAGGCAACCAGGCAGTAAGCCGACGCCCAACAATCCTCGAAGCTCTGCAGTCCTCTATACATTAAGATATGTTCAGGCGATTAATGAGTGTTTATACGTGCGGGAGCAACTGTAAACCCACGCGTGCATTGGGGGGCAACACAATTGCATATAGAAGGGACGGATGATATCAGTGAGCAATTTGCTGTACCGCTTTAGCCTGGCGAACCGGGGTATGTATATGTTATGTTATTTTATGTCGTACGTAACCAACCGCTCCAATCTGAGGTGCGGGGGAAGGACAACAAACGAAACACTAAAAGCAGTTCTAGAGAAATTCGTTTTCAATCTAAGGATGGCACCTCGACGTCCACGGGAAGGGATGTTTCACAGCCTCTGTGAGAGATCCAGCAACCATCGCTGCCTACACACCCTGCTGGGTTACAGGCCGTGTGCGCTTACATTGCCAGGCGATGAGATGAGAGAGAATGGTCAACCACAGAATGTAGATGCACAAGGTTTGAGAACGCACCGCTAATTCCATCTATTCCTGAACTGAAAAAAATCCAACAATTATCCGTGGAGCCAGATTTATATTTAACTGTTACAATGGGTATTTAAAAAGCGGGCTGTTATTGATCAAAACTCATTTTGGCCCTTGTACTAGGAGCAAATCGATCCAATGATACACTGACATTTATGATAAGTTGCCCATCAATGCTTTATTGTGACTTTAATTGCACATATTGGCACTGTGCTGTCTTCACAGCACTCTGCTCTGTTAATCACAACAACAGTTTTTATTGACAGCATTCCTGCACTCCTGCCGCTGCCAGAGAAACGACACGCTGACGAGTGGGCTTTTATTAGCCTTGGTCGAAATACACTTGCGATGAATGAATGCATCTGCAAAGGTTCCATCCCTGCATGAAAAATCTTTTTGTCGAATCCATTAGCCAATTTGTCCTTCTGGACTAATATTGCATTGGTTTAAGCAGGCAAACTGTGAACTGGTTTAGTCGTTGTGGAGTTCATCAGGTAAACTAAGTGCGTAGGTTTTTCATGGTCGTGCTGTACAGCTCTCCGATGCGTTGTTGGGTCGTGCCGCGTGATGTTCAGCACGGTGACCGACGTTTCTCTGCATGTGATGCCGACTTCTTCAGGAATTGAAGAATTAAGAATTCGGTTCCTGAAAAAAAATCTCCCTGCGCCGAGAGGAAATTGCTCGGGACGTCGCGCGGAACGGCACGCGGTGCAATTCACAAACTAAATAATTCGGCCGCCGAGAAACTCGCGGCATGTGAAGCGAAACGTCGGACACCGTGTCGAAGAGCGCGCGGTACATCGGGGGAAACACGTCGGCGAGGTGAATGCTGCGGGGAGTTTTCTGCTGCTGTTTGCAGGGGCCATGTGAGCTATGGCGCCTGCCGATTGAAGGACAATATCACTGCGAAGAAACTCACTTTGTTGCACTGTTGTGGAGAATTGGGAAGGGAAAGTCGTCATCAGCCAAGATCAATCCAATGCTGGATGAAGGGCTACCCAAGTAGTTCTACGATGTAACAGTCTGTCGAGCACCTGCTCATAGGTTGTTTTCATCGCTCCATTTCCTTCACTGGATGGCTTCCTCAAACACGTTCCATTCCTTGGCTGCCACTTTGGGTTATGATGTGTATACGTAACCCAAGAAAGCCTCGCTGAGCCTCGGAACATACTCAATGGAGGGCGCTGGTTGGGAACATTGGACCAATTTGTTTTGTACACATTCTTGTACGTGGGAGGGAATCGGAGTGCCTGCAGAAAACCCGCACATTCAAGGGAGATAACACAAATACCACATGTATATTCCACGATCCTTCTCAATGTACAACAAGAACTCGACACACATTCGTCAAGAATTTCCCTAGAAGGAAATTAGTTCTATATATATTAAATAGCTGACGTTTCAGGGAATGGTCCTTCGTCATAGCGGAGAAAATAGTTTTTTTTTTTTTTACCCAACGGTACTGCCTTTTGCAGATGGCTGTCTCAAATAGGCTCCATCTCAGAGCGACCCGCCAGCCCCGTCTCGGATATTGGATTGTAGGGTTCATTTAAAAAAGGCCGTAGACAACGCTGTTTTTAGCTGTGACCCTCAGGTGGCACCATGTTTTCCATATGTCGAACGTTGGCACCAAGGTGGGGGGCTGTGGCCAGCCGGTCCACACGGCCATGTCACAAGTAGCGGTGCCTTAGAGCGTATGCTTTGCATGCTTGACATTACAAGCGGCTATTGTGTAATTATTGGATCGTTACGAATCTTTTTCCCTGACATGAAACGAACACAAATTGAAGTGCTAAATCAATGGTCAGCCCTGGACGTGCTTGAACTCACTCCGCCAAAGTGGCGTTATATGGCAGACCGTGAACCTCGGCGATTTAACTTAACGTTATTAAACTGTGAGACAACAATGATGTTATAAACGGGTTCATGCTCCTATCGGCCGCTTGCCTCGCTCCACCGTGTGCGCAAATGTTAACCGGTGGTCGAGGTGCATCTACGAAGATTGCCTCCCCGCTTGCCTAATGAGGCGCAAGATCTCGCTTGGTTCTCCGTTGGTGGTCCTGTGGTGAGAAATTCAGGGTGGCGGCGTTACAGTCCGTCGGGATTTTCGAGCTAACTTGAGAATCCACATGGGCATCAAAATGAAAGTGTCCAGGGCTATTTATGGCCAACAAATGTTGCCGCTTGAGCTATAAACATTTTATGCATTATTGTGTGTGTTTTTTTTTTAAAGCACCACGGACAGCACAAGGCCGCAACTTTAAAAACACAGCGTCACGATGACGGTTTCGTTTACCCCGCCGAGAGGCGTCGTGCGAAGGGCATCGGTTCTCTTTTTGTGGCACAGGACGGCAAATGCAGAACTTGCAAAGCGGTTTACCAAAAAATACAACACGTGGTGCAATTTACCACTGCTATCACAGTAGCCACGCAGCAATACAGGCAGACATCACCACAGTGCAGCCTGCTCATTACCGATGCGGGTGAACAGCCACCGTTACACGTTTAAGGGTGCGAGTGCGCATCCTTGCTCACCGTCTGACGTTTCAGTCGTTCGGGAAAACTGTGTCCAGCGAGCAGCTGTCTTTTCAAACAAAGCAAAGAAAATCTAATATTTCCCTGATAAGATACAGTATGTGCATCCGCCTACCGCTAAGTACCGCTGCACTCGGCGAATAAACCCTTGGGTTATTACAACAAAAGGTGTGAGTGTGCAGAGTTCAATGACGGCAATCTGGGTCTGCCCTGTGACCTGGGTCTGCCCTGTGACCTGCCAATGAGCTTTCACCACTCCACGGGATCTCTGAAGTGCACTTAGCCTGGCGTAGGGCGCCACCGTGACGCCTCTGCAAATTAGTGGATTGTTGCGTTGAAGTGAACACGCAATGATGAAAACAAATTCTGAGTCCAATGTCACCTGAGGCTAAAGTGAGCACCAAGCACGTTGTGCAATTAGCAGTGGGCAAAAGCTGCCAAGCGTCATGTCGACACCACGACCCAGCCCGTTGGGTACTAACCCTAACAGGTGCTCAGCCTTGCCATCATGAGGACGATATTTACATGTGTATATGCTGTCTTGAGGAATGTGTTCATGTCGTGATGAGTGAACTGTGCTCTGAGCCCGGTGACCTGAGTTCATTTCCCGCTTAACGTCAGTGGCGAGTTATTACTGAACCGGTCCCGGGACCTCCACCCTTTACCAAATGTGGTGAAGTATGGTCACACAACCCCCAACAACGAATACGGTATGGGGTGGCCTTCGCCATGGGGTGGAGAGGCCTTTCCTCCAGCAATTAATTGTTCGTGCAATATTTCAATATCTCATGAGACATTTGTGTTTGCTCTGATTTCTCTTTGCTTCTTTGCTGTACTTTATTTTTTGTTTTTTTTATTTTGTCAAAAAATGTTGTCACCAAGGTCGCTATTGCGAAATGAGACTCTATCCTGGTCTCTTGAGTCCTCACCTCGTGGTTAAACTAAATACCCTTAACTTGAATTGATTGACAAAGCACTGTGAATGATTACTTTAATATTATTGTTAATATATTTGTTGTTGTTTTTATTCGTCTACAGCTATTGCCCTCACAGACTCAGGCATGCAGGAAAAGTGTCGAGTTATTCAAGGGTGAGGGTCCAGTGGCGGTGCTGCAGCCAGCCACAGGAGCAGCAGCAGCAGCAGCAGCGGCGGAGCTCGGCGCGGATCAACACGAGCAGCCGTCTGGGCAAGAGGCACTGGCTAACGACCACACCAGCACAAACATCGACCACCGAGGCAAGTGCACCATAATTACACGCACCTCGCAGCTCCTTCCGTCCAACTTTTTTTGTGTGCGATGATTTATTGTTTTGAGGCAAGTTGATTGCGAAACTTGGAGCGTGAAGGAAACGGGGTCAGCGTTGCGTTCATTCTAGGTGCAGAAAACAATGGAGTTTACCATCATCGTATTCACGGCTTGGTAAGGTAAAATTGGAACAATTTCGCCGTCAAGTTACATATGAGCAGCAATATATGAGATTGTACACACAGCCACGGCTATAACCCACGCGAGAAAAATAACGTGTTACTTTTTGTTATTCATAGTATCTGCCCTGAAGACATCCACTCCAAACATGTATATATATTTTTCTGGCTGATGATGCACAAAACGCTTCAAATTGTTTCGTGTACACACGTGTTATGCTGCTATAGCTGTAGGAAAAGTTTCATAGCTTAAAAAAAGTTGAACTTAAAAAAAAACTCTTACAGATTCCAGCAATGCGGGCAAGGCAAACTCGTGCCATACTTTGTCTAAATTACTTTGTTGGAATGCTCCACTACTCGAACCGGTATTTATACAAATGTCAAGCCAAGTGTGCATGACACAAGTTTATAAACGTGCTGAAAGAAGTACATTTTTAAACGGTGACTTATTTTATCCATGGCATTTTGGATCAGATCCGGACACAATACTTTAAAAAGTGGCACAAACACGCAGGCGGAGGTGCGCGCGTGGAAGTGCGCCAAGTGACAGGAAGAGGAACACATAGATCAGGGAGCACACCCCAAACAAATCAGAGGCATCGTCTTGACTAGCAAGGTAAAGGAAGTGGCCTTGGGCACGACACGTCACAGCTACAAGGGATGACCACCAATGGCCGAGACCGGTCACGGATTGGCTCAAGAAGACCGCCGTCCGCCGTAGAGATGGAGCCGACAAGCTCCGCTCATGTCCAGGAACGAGATGGCTTGTGGTATCGCAGGCAACGTGAGGCATTGCATCGGTGTGGGGGAGGCCTTCATACAGCATTGGATAGAACAACGCCGCTGCTGCTGCTGCTGCTAACAAGTAGTGCAGTATCACAAGTAAATTATATTTTGCACAGCTGTCTCTGTGCAGACTTATGACTTCTCTTTGCCCAGAATCTAGAGCTGCATAGTGCCACTCAATAACGCAGGTTACGTCAATATGCAGATTTTGTATTTAAAAAAATGCAGGTTATGCAATACTCGGTCCACAAATGCAACCATAACCAGCAGTAAATCGATCAAAACCACAGGGAAAAATTACAGTCAACACAATCAGTACTGTTCATAAGTAGGAGCTGGGGGAATATTTTCCTTACTGTGGGGTGAATAGGACTTCCAAATCCGTTTGGCGGTGCCGCACATTGCCACACACCCTTAGCCTTATCCAATAATAACCTGCAACATGATTAGGATTCACCTTTACTGAGCATGCCAATATTACATACACAGTGTTTGCCAGGTAAGAAATACCCCCCTCTAATAACCGATGAATTACAGCTAAGACGCTTGCAGTGACGGGATATATTTTATTTGTAGGCCATTTCGAAGTGGTAGGCCTCGTGTGGCCATAGTCCGTAGATTCCCCACCCCTGGCTTATAGCATTTACAGTACTTACATATGATAATGCTACAACAAAATAAAGTCCATATATCATCTTCTTTGGTATTTATGCTGTTCACCAGTTCCAATCATTAATATTACATCCACAATTCCACCACTGTGTTTGCTCAGTCATATTTTGCTGAAATCCCACTGCCTTTCCCTCAAATTGCCCTTCCCTTGATTGAAAATACAGGAGGTGTTAAGATGTTCACACATAAAATAGGCACACCGATTAGTAGGCATCAAGTCTGCATAAACCATACATACTTGTGGCAGAACATGCAAAAACAAATATGCTTGGATAATGTATGGATTGTCCTCGAAACTAATTTGCCTACACCAGAGACAACCTCTTTTAGCATATTTATTTTCATGATTTACCAAAAGTACGTGTGGTTAATGCAGACTTGACGCCTTGTAATAGTTGTCTGTTTGGTGTGTGAACATCTTTGCACCTCCTGTATGTTTTTCATCATCTTGATACTGGCGAAAAGGTCCCACAGATAGAACAGCCCTTGTATCTTTTATCAGACTGTTTACTCGCTCAGGATATGCCTGGGGAAGTGTTTACTGAAGCATTTAAAAGCCAAGCAATTAACATTTCATTTGAATGTTTATGCAGTTTTATTTACCTAACTGAACATTCACAGCTCAAATCACCCGCAATGGACCCAATCTCATCAGATCTTAGAAGCTAAGCTGGGGCTGTGGCTTGTCACTACTGGGAATGGTAGTACAACAATATTTTTAACCCATCTGTGTGTGGAGCTTTAAGTGTTATCCTCTTGTCTGCATTAATTTTCTCCGTGTACTCCAATTTCCTCTCACGCGCCATGCACTCCTTAATGGAATTGGCCAAACATCCCAACGAAAGACGTTCCCGAAAATGAAACTGAAGACCCAGTGTGACTCACTCGGACAGACAAAAAGAGCGTTATAAGTCACCCACCCAAGCCGAACATGCCGTTAGTTTATTTTTTCATCCACACACAAAAATCAAACGTACCCGACGCTGTTATCACAGAGATTTAAGAGGTTTTACAACGCCGACAATAAACAAAACACATCTCCATGCTGGCAGGGCAGACTTGCAGGCATCAACCCCGACCGCTCGCCAGACTCACGGGCTCGCAGGGTGGGTGGGTTGGCACGGCGTTCTGATGACTGTGCCGTCTTTCAGCACGGGCAACTAGGCTGCCTGCCACCGACCGCCTACGGACATTAAATACTTTATTACACTCTTTGTCAGAGCAGGTCATTGTGTGTGCTGCTGTTGTCACGGCCAAATTTACTCTGCCTGCAACAATGGCTATATCGCCCACTGCGCCCCAGCCGCCCTGTCGCCTTGCCACCCAGCCGCCCTGCCAGCTCTCGTTGCCCGGCCGTGAGAACTCTATTCATCCTACTCACCACGGCGTGGGTTTTCGCGATCGCGCTGGGCGGCCCTCCCGTGTGTTGTCTGGCCGGTACCGCGTGTTTGTTCGGAACGATGTCCGACGTTTCGCTCCACATGCTTTGGAGCTTTTTCAAGCACTGTTATTTTACCGACGAAGTTCCCGCTGAAACTCCCGGGACGCGTTACAGTAACACACCGTACAACCAAAAACACAGTAGAAGGCCATCCATTAAGACCGCGCAACCTCATCTGACGAGAAAGGAACGTTTTGCAAGACCTCTACCCTAATTCATCATATCCTTGACAAATGGGTCTGCATCTCTCATCACTCGCATGAAACCAACGAAACCAACTTGAGTTTGATTGCTCATCAGAGTGCAATAGGTTTATCAAATCCTCACAGTTCACTATCCTGCAGTGACAGTAAGGGTTCAGGATTACAGTCGCTGCAGTTCTAGTCATCACGAACGTGAGTGGGACAATACGAACGTGAGTGGGACAATACGAATGTGAGTGGGACAACACGAATGTGGGACAACACGAATGTGGGACAATATGAATGTGAGTGGGACAACGTGAATGTGCTTTCCAGTGATTCATAGCATACCATTACCATAAACCACGGTTAATCCCTGGCTGGATGAATGCCTCCCCAAGCCACGCCATCTCTCATGACTCTGCGATGTAACAATCCACTCGGCACCACCTGTACATTAGCCGAATCCATCGCTCCGTATTCGTTCCCAATGGGAAAAAAAAAACTTCTTAGCTCAATGAGCCTCCTTTAAAAGAAAGTTAAGTTAACAACTAATATTTATTATAGATTAAAAAAAAACATTGCTACAAGTCCAAAGCCCTCAATTGCATAAACTGTGTGATTTTTTTCGTGATAATGAAAAGAGCAAGTCTATGGCTGTTTTAAACAGGACCATGATAATGTGTTATGCATGATACAGATACTACAGAACTGGACTTGATAACTGGATGCACTTACAGCAATCCATTTAGGGAAGCATGACTGGTCACGCCATGTGATCAGCTGTTTGAATGCCAAGATGCGGATGATGGCCACAGAGGCAGCCTTGCCCCGAAATTAACGAAACTTGAGCTAGGCCACTCATTCGTCTTGAGAAAGAATTCCGTTACATGAATATCTAACCGGCTTGCCCTGTAGGTATATGGAGCGTATGGTCAGGACCAGATTACGTTTTTGCGGGGCCTGGGGCTCTTTGAGATTTGGTTGAACATCTCTTCCCCTATTCAACTCCATCCGTTTTCTGTTTTGCCATCACCCATGCCCATTACCAAACACTGCATTGTTATTCACGAATTGCAAGGCCAAACCAAAAAGGTAGAATAAACAAAACGGTGTGAATGTGAGCACATAACTGGCAGCACAATACACACAGTATAATGCTGTGGCTTTACTGACCACAACACAATACAAACAGTATATTGCTGTGGCTTTACTGATCACAACACAATACACAGTATACTGCTGTGGCTTTACTGACCACAACACAATACACAGTATATTGCTGTGGCTTTACTGACCACAACACAATACACAGTATATTGCTGTGGCTTTACTGATCACAAAACAATACACAGTATATTGCTGTGGCTTTACTGACCACAACACAATACACAGTATATTGCTGTGGCTTTACTGATTACAACACAATACACACAGTATACTGCTGTGGCTTTACTGATCACAACACAATACACACAGTATATTGCTGTGGCTTTACTGACCACAACACAATACACACAGTATATTGCTGTGGCTTTACTGATCACAACACAATACACAGTATACTGCTGTGGCTTTACTGATCACAACACAATACACACAGTATATTGCTGTGGCTTTACTGATCACAACACAATACACAGTATATTGCTGTGGCTTTACTGACCACAGCACAATACACACAGTATACTGCTGTGGCTTTACTGACCACAACACAATTCGCACAGTATTGTGACTTTACCGAAAAAAACAATTATTAACTTTATGCAATCACGAAAGCTTTAATACTTTATTACACACAGTATATTGCTGTGGCTTTACTGACAACAGCACAATATGCTAAAGTAAGTTTCATAATTCAACGGTACAGTATTGCATTTTAACCAGTAGTATCTTTATTTGGGGGAGCAGGGGGGGGGGCAGTCCTCAAAATCTGAGGTCCCAGACTGCAGGCCCCAAAGCCCCTGCGCTAATCCAGCCTCGTGTGTAAAAAAACCAGGTAGCCGTTTGTTCTCTTGCCCTATCCTACACAATCTAAAATCCAAACCGCACCTAAATCATGAACAATGGCTTCCTGTTTTTGCAGGTGATTCATAACTCACGCTGGCAGATTCATTCACGGATAGATGCGTCGCTTTTCTGATAAAAAAACACCCCCCCATCCGACTGCAAGTAATCTATTGTGCCGTACTTCATGACAAAAAAAGTAATGTTTTTAACAGTGAATATCCACGGTTATGGTGGCACGCGCTTTATTTAACGCAGTTTTAAAGGTTCTCTAAAGTGAAAGGAAAATATTTTCTCGGAAAAATTTTTATAAGTCACGGTTCCGTATAAGTTAATGATACTGGCAGCTGTGACATCATCTGCGCGTGTATTTTTCCTGCCACAGTTGGCAGCGGAGCGATCATGTGACCACTGTTAGTGGGAGCGGGCGCGGGGGACATGTGGATTCACTTAGCAGCAGGAAATCGGGCGAGCACATCTGGTCTTCTGGCCTAGGTCGTCCGCATTTGGAATGATCGATATTTGATTGATTAAACCCGAGCCCCGTTGTTTGCATCTGAACACCAGGAGCAAACCTCGAGGCGGAAGTGGGCTGCTGCCCTGCCGTAGCGTCGTCCCACGTGAACACCGCCACTGTCAGCGCGGTGCGCTTGTCACAGTGCGGGCAAGGTAGGCGACATCAAGATGTGACACGTGCAGGATGACAGCATTCTGACAAATGCATGTTGAGGACTTGGTCTGTCAGGCTGATCGTTTCATCTCATCCACACTGCGTTCAAACACCGTACGCACCGCTGGCCCCAACACTCTCTTTCCGCTTCTCCCCCCCCCACGCATTGCTCCACTCTGGAAATCCCTCCCATCGCTTCTCTAAGTGGTCACAAGCTTGGTCAATTCAAGAAGTGTATCGACTCGTATCGGTTACACCTTTATTTGTGCTGTTTGTTGCTGGCCACTTGGCGTTACGGGGGCTTTGAGCCCGTGCCCAGCAACCGCTTTTAAACAACATCACAAATCCTCATGCAGTTTAATTGGTGCCAAATGCAAATGGCGTGCGGGGCTACAATGGGAATATAAAGGAGCTCGCTGCAAATCAAACAGCAGGGATCTCAGAAGTACGCAATAATCACACCGCATTCTCCAGAGTTTAAGATTCGCTTCCCTCCCTCCCCCCTGTGTTTTATAAAGTTAAAGTTGAGGGTACATCCTATAATCCGGTAGTTATCTGTTTGTGTGACCAGGTTTGTGTAACTGTATTGTCTCGGGCCATAGGTCTGAGGTGTGTATTACTTTTTGTAGCAGTTTATTATCCAGATAATTGAATAATAACCTTTGCCCCCTATCAATCCACTGCTGGATGAAGACCTCCCCCACTGCGTTTCGGTCACCGGAGTTACTGATTGACTCAGCTTCATATTCTTATCGAGGTTGTTAGGTGTTGGAGCACAATCAGAGTGATAAATAACTAAAGTGACTTTTATTGTGCACGTGTTTTTGCAATGTGCCGTAAATTATAGTTCTGCTATTATCTGGGGGAAAAGAACACGCACTGTTATTGCTTTTGCAAACACGAGAGGATATTTTGCAAAAGTTGAACGCCAGCACATTGCTGTGGCATTCACACATACCGCGTCCAATTTGTAATGGAAATTTTAACAAAAATTTCTAAAATATTAATACCCAAATAAAAATAACGTATGCTTTACCATAGCATTAAGTGACCATCTTCATAAGGGAAATATAAGAAACTGAACAATAGTTTTGACTGCTAATTTAAAAGAAAAAATTTCTGTCTTTTGTGTAAAATGTTGAATTGTACACAAATATGCACGTGACTTAACTCATTCCTTTTGCCCTAAGGTACACATTTGCTTCAGTGTCAAAAACACGATTGTGCAATTATTTGACTCGTACATTTTTTTTTTGCCCGCTCGTCCTTACAGAGGAACACGCGAGGCTTGAGCTGCTTGCGAATACCAACGGGGCAGACGTGGAGGAGGGCGGCGAAACAAATAGTGGCGACATCGAAGTGGCTGCCAATCCCGCGGGAGAATGCCAACAAGACGCCCACTCCGATCCCGTGAACGGAACGGAGAATGAATTGGACGGCCAAACCGACGAAGCGACCGGTCGGCCCGACGTCGATCCGAAGCAGCGTGGCGAGCTGGATTCCTCGAGCGCTTCTCAGGGCAACGAGGTTGGCTTCAAGAAAATATTTAAGTTCGGGGGCTTCAAGTTCACGATGAAGAAGGACAAAGCCGCTCAACCGGAGCCCGCCCATCTCCTGAAAGTGAGCAGAGGTGGGGAGGAGGGCGCCCCTTCTTCGGACGCGGCGCATCAAGCGCCCCGGAGCGACGAGCCGGACGAGCAGCCGGCGGGGGCGACGGAGCCCGCGCAGGACGCTTCCGCCAGCAGCGGCGGGGCGCAAGGGGCGGAGTGGAGCGGCGGCGGCGGCGGGGAGGAGGAGGACATCGCCGACCTGGAGATCGTCGACGAGGAGGAAGTCGCAGAAGCGATAGCGGCGGAGGCGGCCGCCTCGATCGCTGCCAGCGTCTGCAAGCCGCCCGCCGAGCCCCTGAAGGAAGAAGCTCCCGTGCCGCCTCTGAAGAAAATGTCCGGGCTGTTCGCGGGGCTGCGCAAGAAGGCGGGCGACAAGCAGAAGCGCGAAGAGGGCGCCGCCAGAGCGGCCGCCGAAGACGCGTCGCGGCGACCCGATGACACGAGAGCGGAGGTGGAAGGGAAGATGGCGGAACTGGCACGAGCGTTGGAGGCGCATGCTCGAGGCGAAGAGCAGGCGCCCGACGACCAGCAGCCCTGCTCGTCCAAGTCGGAAGCCACGCCCGACGTCCTGGTGTCTATGGCCCACGTTCTCGAAGCTGCCACGTGCGAGGAAGCGTCGAGCGACCCACCTGCAGGGCAGCAGCAGCAGCAGAAATTGGCGGCAGCGAATGGCGAGAGCGCTCTAGAAACGGCAGATAAGAGCAAAGGGACGAACGAAGCCGCTGCTGATGACGACCACGAAGGGGATGCTACAGACACCTCTGCCAGGGCCAAGGCAAGGACTCATGAAGGACCTCTGAAGAAATTTTTCAAAGGCTCCGGATTAAAAAAGTTACCGAGCCTGAAGAGGAAGGTGACCAAGGAAAGAGAAGAGAGCGAACACTTAACCGGCGACGAGGGTGAACCGGGAACGGACGGGAAACGAGCACAAACTTCCATTTCCGTGGAAGACAATAATCCGGGTTCCCCTGCGCACGCAAAGGAAGCGGAAACTAAATCGGAGGATTCGCCGCATCCTGGCGCAGCAGCCGTCGTGGCAGATGGCAGGAACGTCGGGGCTGTGAGAAAGCGGGAGGGCATCACGGTTTGGTCTTCTTTCAAGAAGCTCGTGACCCCCAAGAAGCGCGTGAAGAAAGCGGCCGAGAGCGACACGGACGACGACCCGGAGGATCAGGCTGACGAGCGCTCGAAGAGCGGCGCGCCGGCCGCCGCGGGCAGGTCGCAAGAGGCGCGCGGAGAAACGGAGGAGGTGAAAGTGACCGTGGAGGTGCACAGCACCGTGGAGCCCGCCACCATCGCCACCGTCGTCACGGCAACCGCAGCGGCCGACGTCGCGGTGGAGGACGCGTCATCGGAGGCCGCTTTGGAAACGGCGGCCCTCACCGTGGCGGCGAGTGACGAAGCGCGGACGGACGAGGATGTTGCGGCCCGCGGCACGGCACCGGCTGCGTCTGACGCGGAAGTGACGGACGGTCCGGAGGCGGCGGCGGCAGCGGCGGCAGGAGAGGAAGAGCGGCGCGATGAGAGCAAGTTGGCGGCCGGATCCCCCGAGGGAACCGAGACGACAGCTGGGAGCGGCGGAAGGGCGGAGGGCGCGGCGAAGCAGGGGGACGAGGGGCGAGCTGGCGACTCGCCCAAGCGCGAGTCCGCCTGGGAGTCCTTCAAGCGGCTCGTGACGCCCAAAAAGAAGGCGAAGGCCAAAGGGGATAATCAGGCGGGTGGCGGAGACGAGGAGGACGCCTTGCAGCGGGCAGCTGCGGATTTAAAGCGAGACGTGGAGCGAGCCGCGCAATCCCAAACGGAATCCCCGAAGCGCGAGTGCGCGAAGGCGGAGAACCCTTCCGCCGCCGGATGGTCGATAAAGAAGCTCTTTCCGGGGATGAGGAGAAGAAAGGCCGACGCCGACGCGGAGGGCGCCGAGGCGGAAGCGGCCGCCTCGCCGGCGAGCGGCCGCGTCAAATGCGCCGAGGTCCACCAGGACACGCCGTCCGTCGTGCCGCTGTCCGAGTTCGAGTCGGGAGATCTGTCGGTTCAAGTGGAGCGTCCGACGGCCGTTGAGGAGCCCGAGCTGCCCGTCTCGCAAGAACGGCCTCCCGAGGTCGTGCTCGGCGTGCCCACGGAGGCGGCGGTGGCGGCGGCAGGGCCAGCGGGCGAAGATGGCGTTTTGGACAAAGCCGATGAGCCGTGCGACGATAGAGAGGAGGGTGGGAGCTCCGACGATGCGTCGGTGGGTGCGAATGCCGCAGGACCAACAGATGGTGCTTCACGTGCGGGTCAACCTGCGGGCGCGGCATCTGAAACATCGGTCACGACGAGCGGCGATCGTTCGCAACACGGCAGCGCGCTTGCGAAAGAAGGAGAGTCGAACGCCCTCCAAAACGTAACGGTGGACAACAACTTGGCGCAGGTAAAAATCGTGGTGGATGCGCCCTCGGTCACAGCCACTCGGCTCGAAACGCCCGACAGCGAAGCCGCTTGCGAAGGTTCAAAAGAAATGTCCCCAAGCCTGATCGTGACCGAAAATGCACCAGAGAAACCGAATCTGTCACCGGACGAGCGTGACGAAGAGAACGCCGATAAGGACTGTGCGCCGGTGGTTTGTGTGATCTCGGGCGCCGAGAGTGAGTCGCACACCGCCGTGCCGGAGGCCGCTCGCGCGTTGGACGGTGGAATAGACGGCGCTTCTGGTGATTTGAGCACCACAGCTCGCTTACCAGACCTTGTGACCGACGCTTCAGCAGCTAAAGACGGGAACTGTGCTCGGACTCTCCCCGGTGACATTCCGGCCGCAGACATTGGCTGCACTTTGAATGGAAAGCAACAATCTGAGTGCCAGGAGAGAGCTGCATTTCATGAGGTTCAACTGAAGCAGACAACCGTCCAGTCGGCCGCCAACCTCGCCGAACAAACGATCGAGCAGAACGCAACTGGGGAAACGCGTTCGAGTCGGGCGGCCGAAGAAATGGCCGAAGAAATTCCCGTGCAGTCCGTGAAGGATGCCATGGAGGCTTACAAAATCCCCTTGGAGACCATGGTCATGCAAGCTCCGCACGGCCAGGATCTGGAGGTGATCATGGAGGAAGACGCCGAGAGTCCGCCCGCCGTCTCCGGCGCAGCCGCTGTGCCCGGAGACGGCGCGCGACCGACGCCCGCCGCGGCGAAGGTGAACGCCGAGGAGCACGAGTGGCCGACGGCGGCGGCGGCAAACTCGGCGCGGAAGTCGGGGGTGGCGCTCGAGGAAGAAACTGCGGAGGAAAGTGACCACGGGAAAGGGCTGCCCGTTATTCACGACGGCCACAACAACAGCAACAACAATCATCATCATCTTGACGATGTCAACAGCCAAGCGCCTCTTGATTGCGTCTCTGTGGAAGGCGACAAGGCATCTGAAATAACCAGCAAGGCAATTCCGAACAGCGCTGGCGGTGTCGAAACGCTGTCACAGCAGAAACGTGCAGATGGGCCTATGAGCGAGAACAATGGACCCGAGGATTTGTCCTCGGCAGTACAAATGGATAAAGCGCAGCAGCTTTTGGAGAATAGCTTGGGCAACAGTAATTCAAAGGATTTTGCGGCGCAAGCGGAAACGGCCGCGGATCACACGCAAGAGAAGCCGCCGCCACCGCACTCCGAAGGGGGTCTGCTCATGGCCGCTGCACAGTCCTCTGTGAGCTAGAGTCCTCCGGGGCCGCCTGTTCGTTGCTTACCGGGTAAGGCTACGATGAGTACAAAACTCCGTTCGGCTTCCTAGTCTAACCGGTGTCTTTTAAGGGAGATGTTCACCCATCAAATTTTATGCAACTGGACGCCCGGGCCTGTGATCGGGTTTTTTTTTGTCTATTCCGTTCCATCCCTTGGCTGCTGTATGACCACCCATGCTGAAAGCCAAACAAACTACATTGTTATTCAGCTTGGTTCTTTGAGTGTTTAAATCTGAATTGTGAATTGTATAGGCGAATCAAAATGTGAAATGAAAAAAAACACTTTTATTTTGGCACGTAATTGGGAGAAATACGCACTTGCAATGCTACGGCTTTAATTACCAAAATGACATTGGGATTTATCATAGTGCTACAGTATTGCATTTTAACCATGATAGAGCAGTAGATATATTTTCTTGGAGCGGGCCCACAAAATCAGAGCCCGCTGGCTGTAGCCCCTAGAGCCCCTGAGTTAATTTGACCCAGACTATGACCACGTGAATATGATTTGTCCTGAAATTCCACCGTGCCAAGAAACATTTTTAGTGTATTTTTTATTCATTATATTGCACATATCAAACTATGGAACAAAAACAGGTTATTTTTTTCAACTATACGAACAAGGTAAACAAGGTCAGCTTTTATATATATAAATACAAATCAATTGCGGGATCTGCATTTTGGTGTTTACACGTGAAAAAATAAGGACATTTACCAATATATATTTTTTGTATGTATAGAAAAATGTTTCCCATGAGAACTCGGAGGGGAAAAGGTCACATTTTTAATTTGCCACGGTATCTGGTTACCCCTGATCAGCTTCAGTTCCCGCAGGTGAAGAAGACATTCCTACTTGTGTGGGTGGTGTTTTTCTCTCCTGCCTCACGAACTGCAGTCGTATAGCAAGGCTGCAATTATAAATCTTGGTAAATTTTGTCTTGTCACACTTCAGCTGATAAATGCATAGAAAGTGAGCACATCAGCCCCTTTTAAGTGTCATTTGTTATTTTATATTTCGCGTGGATTGTGCAAATGTCGGACGTTTTTTTAACGCCTCTTACTGACGTTTTTTTTCTTGAGTTTCCTGGAATTTTACATTTTTGCTCCTTGGTATTCTCACCCAAATTCCCTCTTTAAAAAAAATCTCATCGCTTGTGGCAACTGTGTCAATACGCATTTTTAGCTAACAGAAACCCTGTATTTTGGGAACAGTGCCAATTTTAAATTAGTGCCAAATTTTGCATTTACGAGCAGTCTTTGGTCTCTGGAGGAAGGTTGTCCGCATCCATCCCCCACATTTCTTAAAACTCTGAATGTAATTTGGCACGAAATATTACCATGGTCAATATCTCACCACTCGTGGGACATTTAAACAGCACAGAATAGCATAAAACCATCGAAGAATCGGACAACATACGCACAGCCTTCATTTCATTGCCACATCTTTTCGGGGGCTTATGTTCCTTACAAGATGACCTCCATACTTTGTAACGGAATTTGGTCGTCATGGTTACATTTTCCCTTTCCTAGAAACACACATATGTGTAAAAAGAACATAAATAAACGATCAGGTCAGAGTGGGTGTGGTAGGAAAATTATTCAACCAATGTTTTTCAGTAAATAAAATGACACCTATAGGGTACAACATGCATTTTGTGGCTATGCTGTACAGCTCTCCGTTAAGCTTCCGGGTTGTACTGCATTGCTGCTCAGCACGATGTCCGACGTTTCACTCCATGTGACGGGAGCTCAGTCCAGTTCCCTGAAGAAGCTCCCACCACGTGGAGACTTCACGCTGAACGTCATGCGCATCGGGGAGAGCGATAACATTACATCAACGATTGTTGCGATGTCTATGAAGCGCCCAGGACTTTAAGAAATGTTCAGATGTTATATTTTGCAAAGCTTGTAAAGGAGGGGGGGGGGGGGGAACGTCTTTCACAATTATGAAGTTAATATGTTCAGAATCAAAATATTTAAACCCGAGGAATCCGATGAGCTATAAAGCTCTTTTTTATAGATGTTTCAGTAGGGGCGGGTAAGAACGTTACAACAACAAACGGTCTAAAAAAACACGATAGTACAAAGTACAATAAAGGTAACACAAATCACCCAAACACAAATACAGCACTAAATCATCCGCATCCTACCAGGCAAAGCCCACTGAGGTATGAACTTATTGTTCACAAGCGACCTGGCCACAAATGATAGCTCAACGAAGTGGCCCATCATTTGGACATTTATTGCACTAACACAATATAAATAAGCCCAATCCACTTCAGGCAACCTTTTGTGCACTGATCGTTGCTGTAATCATGCGCCATCACTGCCACCGTGTGGTGCTACTGACCCTACATTTGTACAAAACGTACCAACATCGTTGTTGCCTTTCTGTTGGCGCCTTGGGGGAAAATAAACACGAGGCGTGTAACCTTGATTTGAAGCTTTCGTGACTGCAGGAATCCATACTCTTTGGTTATTTGGGAAAAGTCATCACGTGGGTAGAAAATTAATAGATCACGACGGTTCGATCGCAACACAAGCAATCGTTGTCGGGTGAGACAAACAGCAGGAGAACTTCTGTTAATTTTCTGTTAATTTTCCATCGACGTGACTTGAACCGAAAGAACCAGAAAGTACTAGGCGTGTAACAAATCTCGTCGCCTCTTCTCGTGATTAGCGGACTTGTAGCGGCCTCTAGTGGCCACCATACTTCAGCATATACATACAATTAATTATATGGCGATACTGAGGTGGCAACAAATAAATAAATTTATTATATGTTTGATATATTTAATATTTTAAGGCAGTGTTGTTGACGAGTGAGTTTAAAAAAGCTATAGGATAAAATATTAAATTCCAGTCATTCTCAATCTCCATACCATATCGGCCATGGGGGGGTGTTTTGACCATACTTCACCACCCTGGCCAGTGAAAGTTGATGGAGGGCAGTGTAGGACAGGTTCTGATATCGACGTTAGCCGTGGCCAAACATCGAACTCAACACTAACCACTGCGCCACCCACAATACGACTTGAACAACAGAACTGATTTCAAACGATATTTGATGCATGCAGCCTGCTACAGAAGAATCGATATGAATGTACACATTACGCCTCCAGTAAAACATTTAACTTGTCCTTCTGCCTTATACCACGCACAGTGTTAAGCATTCACGACAGTGGAAACATTGTACAATTACTGTCTTCAGTAAGTGTAGGCAGAGTAGACCAAATACCCTCGAGAAGGGCCCTCTAGGGCCTCTGCTTGTGAAGGGCCCTTCCCACCAGCAGTGGAGTGAATAAGCAATTTCAGGGCCGCACCTTTAGCTTTAAACAAAATCTCGGGCTGTTTGTGAGTTGACTGCTGAGAACGTTGCGTTCCCATTTGTTTCAGGACACGTGGCATCATGAGTGAAGCCCTCAACCTGAATTACTGCTTGGACCAGTCCGAGCGAATCCAGCTCCCTCTGCCGAGGAGCAGCAATACGTGTGAGCTGGTGTACAGTATTCGTATCCCAAGGGGCTAGGGACGGAAAGGAAGGACCATCCTGGTTTTTTGTTGTTGTTGTAGCTTACTGGGAGACTTACCCTGGAAAATGTGGGGAGACGCACTCCCTCACGCGCCGGCGACACTCGCACATGCGGACTCCGTTTTCACATGCAGTACATCCTCCTTCGTGCCGTGCCGTGGAACAGTTGTATCATTTTAACAGTAGACGTAGTAAACGCAAAACAGCTTACAAGTTTGTACACACACACACACACCTACATATGGCTGTTAATAACATGAGTGGAAGAGTTAAAGAGAGAGAGAGGTAATAAAGAAAATGTATTCGCTATAACAGTAATCAGTTGGTGGCTGGTTATTCGTGGCTGGTTATTCGTGGCTGGTTTTGGGCCAGGTCCTGCTCGTAAAGTGTTTTTAAATAAAAGTTAACACTACTTACCTGCTAATTATAAAGATTATAAACTGAATGTACCTCGCTCACTCCTTCCAATCCGTCTTCCCCCCCACTGCTGTTGGTGTAGATAACAAAAGAAAGTCGGTGATATTCCTGCTCGAAGGAGCATTGTGGCGGTGTGGTCACCCGCTGTTTACAGCCCTGAGCCAGTGATGGAAATTCCACATTCCTATAGTGGGGCGAGTATTTCCACAGGACCACCACTGTCGACTTTCCCACAAAGTGGTACCTATTTTCTGGACCACGGGGGGATGATGGGCAGAGTTCAACCCCCAATTAGCATTTTTATTTAAAAACTTTCAAACCTGAGCCTCTTACTCCTGGCGCAATATATTCTTAGCTGCTGGCCGCCACTGATGGTAATACATGTTGTGAACGTATTCACTGATGAGAGGCAGATGTGCAGGTTTTTGGCAATATCGTGTTTGCTGTGTGCTTCATTGCAAGCAGCTAAGTTTGTGGAACCTGGAGACTGGGTCTGCAATGCTTTCAAAGTTATTCCTCCTCGTCCTGCTTTTATGACTTTTTATTTTACATTTGCTTTTTTTTTTAAATAGTCACATTAATAAATGCCACAGTGAGAGGCCATCCCTCGCGATGTGCAGAGGCTCAAGGCCATGCTACTAAACTGGTGAAATGGTAAAGCAATTCCCACGGGTAACTGTCACTGGCGATGCATTTACTGTGAGCAGCTGTGGTGGCATGGCATGGCAATAGACTTGGTATGGCAAGAGATGTGGTATGGAAATGGAGAATTGGTATGGCAATGGAGACTTGGTATTACAATAGGGTTTCGGAATGGCAATGGTATGGAATCATGTCTGGACAATGAAAACCCTGTTTAAAAGTGCGTTTGATGAACGATGATTGGTCTACATCGCACACAACCTGAGGTGGCCATGTGACCTTATCTGCGCAGTGATTGTTCCGCAGAGCACACAACCTCGGGTTGTCATGTGACCTCTGTGATCTGATTGAAAGTCACAATTCAGGTTGCACCTTTTTGCGAGCAGTTATCGCACATTTGTTCAGATTCGGCAAAATTAAACATGGTGCAATCAACAATGGCGTGGCAACCATTATCAGCAACAATTACAATACAACTTCTCGAGTGCATGAATGATCTTATTGGTGGTCCACCAGTGGTTTATCGTGGTTCTAGTTTGGAATCGTACAAACTCCACGTGGGTTTTGTTAAATTGCAGGCGAAATGTGCGGGTGGTTAGCATATTAATTAGAATGTTGGGGCTGTTGCCAGACGAGTTCTCCTGGGAAATCGCATGGGTTTCAAGCTCTGGACTAGCCAAGGCAGAAATGTGTTGAACTCCCAGCAACTCGAGCCAAGAGCCACAATCGCGGTGTCCATCAGGCTATTTAGCGGTTGGCATGGTGAGGAGCACAGGTGGTGCATCTGCCCGTCATCTCAATCAGTCAACCCATAACACCCGGGTCTGTCCCATAACCTGCCAGCAAAACTTTGACAGCTAAAAGTGCACCTAGCCTGGCACAAGCACTGTGGTGGCATCACTGTCATTTAAGGGAAAATGGCAGCTGTTGCTCTAGCGGTGATGGGTTGCTTGATGTCGTCTTTTTCCCTACAAAGGCTCATGGAGAGGTTTCTAGAAATGCAGGCGTAGTGTATAACTAAATACGGTGCTGAAAACAATTGAGTGAGCTGACATTCTCGCATTACAGTTATCGAATGACTAGTTTGAGCAAAGAGAATGTATTTGAAGATTCAGTTATGTTCATACGCAGCAGAAGATGCGTTATTTCGCCAGGTGAGACTGTGATGAGATCTCGTTCAGAGCTCTGTTTAAGTGTCTGTACACATCATGAGAGAATAGCGATGCTCCGATGTGATAGAGACAACAGGAAGATTTCTGTGAACATCTCACTCCAATGCACATCGTTCCCATTATTTCAGCATGCTTAAATAGCCCCCAATTGCAGTTGAACTTCACTCAAACCACGTTAATGTAATCAAAGAATTACCTAATTTACATGTTTTAAATGAACACATGACTACATTTAATTTTATAAACTGTGTAATGGAAAGTATAAGCCATGTAGATTGATTCAAATTGATATGTACAGGATGCTATAATTGAAATAGATATAGGTTCAAGGTATAGACATTATAAGAGAGTTATTATATAACTGTGTGTGAAATAGCCTATGACCCTGTGGTGATGCAGATATGCTATGTGACCCGAATGTGAAGTTTTATTTGCAAAATCCTTCATTTATTAAATGCTCATAGAGCTATTGCATATGAATTCATTGACTTATTAGATTCAAGCCCTTTGTCAACCCCACTATTGCATGAAAGCCTCCTCACACCCTGCAGCTTGTGGGAGTTGTTTGACCATACTTCACCACGCTGGTCAGTGCAGATTGATGAAATTCGCAGGAAGGTCACCCAGGACCAGTTGGGTTGTTAGTCGTGACCAGGAGTTGAACTCAGGTCACCAGGTTCATTACACAGGGAACGAACCACTGCACCACTGCTCCCCAAGTTCTTACACAGTCAGTTTCCTTTCTTTTTTGTTGTTTTTACAAACAAAATTAGCACTAGGGTTTGAAAAATAATGTGTCTTAAGTCCCAGAGTATTAAGACGCGGAAATACAAATGCTAATTCGATCATATGGAGTTAATTATTATGATTTAATAGGTTGTAATGTACACGGCATGGTTGCAAAAAGTCGTTGCTTTTAAGGTTCAATTAAATATCACAACTCTGGAAATTAACTTTTCAACAAGAACCAATATAGAATGTGTTTGAATGTAGCAGTCTGTAGTAGCTGGAGGGGTCACACGATCTCATTACACACAACTAATATGAATCGAAAAACATTGATAAACAAGTGATTTGATGCCTGTATTGTGAGATTGATAAATACGTGATTTGATGTCTGTATTGTGAGATTTAAGGATCAATATAAAAATTACCAATTTTTGTGACATCCCCGAATAAATAGAATAAGCGTTACTGGCTTTAGTGGTATTTTACATCGAAACTTACTGTTTTAGAGTATCTGAGTCGGAATTTATCGCTTTTAATGTTTTTTAAATGTATAACTGAAGTTCCATTTTAAAGTTAGATTAAGCTTTTTGTTTAACAGTAATTTCCTTTACGTAAGAGAACCAAATATACGTCACTCTATGCCCGTACTGCCATGCCTCCGTTTAAGCACTGTAAATATGCAATCGTGTTACAAATATGTATAACTATTTAAACATTTAACAATAATATACTGATGCTGTGATTTTCATACGACCGTATATGTCAATGTGTTGCATGAAAGCGAGGCGTTGTTTGCGTGTTTGTATGTTACATGCAAACGCATTGCAAACTTCCACTTTGTGTGCTAACTGCTCCGTGTTGGGAGAGAATGCAAAAAAGCTCCGCTTCCAAATTAGAACAATATGCTCCGTTTTGAATGCTCCACGTGTGAAACTAAATATAATGTTTATTAACTTGTTGCAGTGGCGTTTCAAAAAAAAAAGACTATGCCACACAATAAGGATGTTTGTCATGGTGTGATGGTCAGCACGCTGGACCGACAATCCGGAGTCCGTCGGTTTGATTTCCCAGCGGTGGAAACGATGGCGCAAGCTTCTGAGATCCAGCCCCGCGACTCTGTCCGACAGGCAGTGTCGATGTGGACGCCACAGTTTGCCCATCAGCAGGCAGCGTGTGGTGGGGTAAAGTGTGGGTACTCGCACATCCTCTTAAGACGTTTGGCCGGCGTGGAGTAGGCCAGGTATCCTCTAGTGGGGCTCTGTGTCAACAGCCTCCTCTAGTGGAGGCCGTTATTCCAGCAAGTGGGGTAAGCAAGACATTGCTGGGCTCCCACATTCGCCTTCCACCTATGTCCAGTGAACAAACGTTAAAGTTTGCCAGAATGGGAGTTATTGTTAATCCCGCATCGAATTGCTGGTTGAAATTGTGAAGAATTATGGTAACAATACAGAATATGGCCCTGACACTGGGGTCTGTTAGAATAAGTAGTGTTTATTAAAAAAAACTAATGCTACTTGGATGCAATATAATAAGAAGTTTCAATAAGCCTATCATTTACAAAGTAATTCCGTCAATGCTATTACATATGCTATAGGAAAACAAATCAACAACCCTTAACAATGTATCCAAGTAAAGGCTGACTTGGTCAACATGCAGTGTATTAGATAAGTGAAACGACTTCACAAAGTTTTAGAGATAAATGTATCGCAACGTATAAATGTTAAGTTAACTATCTTAACAAATATCTTTCGCGTGAAGCATTCTCGGCATGTCGAGTCATCAACCCCCTTAATGAGTGAGGCTCGTCGCAAACCCGGCTTGTTATGTCGCGACCTTAATATCAGCACGACAAGGAAGATATCTCGCTCATGAGTGTCGATCGGGTTTGAGCTCGTGGGCTAGAGCGACTTGCTGTCCAATTGTGGCCGATGAAAAATCTGCGAGTGGCTCCCGTGTCTGGCACGACAAGTCAATTGCTCTTCCAAACCAGAGTCATTGTGTTACCCAGAATGCTTCACATCAGTCTAATAAGTTGCCATGCAGTGTTGCGGTGGGGTTTTTTTTGCCAGGAACCCTGTCGATTAGTAGGAGTGCTCTCACCAATAACAACGTCTGGTAAAGAAGCGGCATTTTGTTGGCAGTATGTGTTGCTTAGACCTAGAAGGTAAAAACTGGTCTAGAGCGTTACATTCTTAAATAACTGCTGCTGGTGATGAACTTCTAGAAGGCAAATAAAATATAAAACAAACTATTTCATGCAATTCCCTGGATTGTTCTACAACAGTAAGTCATTAAAATAATGTCCATAAAAAGTGTTGTGCATCAGCTGTATTAGCAATAAAGGTTAAAGAATAGCACTCAATGCTTAAGACATACTCACCGGTCATTTATCCTGCTTTAGTGGAAACTCCATTTGAGTAAAAATGTATGAAGTAAATGTTAAGTGCATTTTCTCTGCGAGAGTAATCGCAGCACGTCACACATTCGACTGGCTGGGGCCTGAGGTACAGGCGGATCTGTGCGAAAGGGTTGGATGTGTGAATATCTGTAGAAAATCACCGCCACGCACAGGCACTGCACTGGGTGTGGGCGGCTCCGACTTTGACGGTCTGTTGTGTGACGCTGCATCGTCAAGACCGGGCATCCCTGCAGGGCGAAGCCCGACTGCTCCCAACGCATTGTAAACTGATTCCACGCGTGAGAAAGGCTGAATGTGCCATGCGTGTAGCGGTGCCTGACCAACAGCTCTGATGAGCCACAGGATTTATAAGTTGTATCATTTCCAAATGCAAGTAGCGTAGATTAACGCTTAAGCTTTGAACTTAGCTCTACCACGGCAGTGTCATTAAAACGCATGCTTTGATATATCTTGCCCATCTACAAAACTAACAGCATTAACTGAAGTGAGATGAACAGATGGATGCTTACTCTTTGCCAACAGGCTCATTTAATTTCCCGGCTGTGCAAGTTGCGCGCACTGAGTTTTTGTAACATTTGCAATGTGAAATTTATTTCAAAAATTAAAATGTTAGACATGTGTCGCGTTTCGCAATCATTCTGTGGATTTCTGTTGTGGAAATATTCACCGCGCAAGACCTGTTTACTGGGAATTGTACGACGTGGATGGGGACAACGATAGTAACTGTCCACGTGGTCTTCCTAGTCGCGTGGCACAAGACGACGAATGTCATCGCTCTGGTGACACAACGTCAAAAAGAGCAAAAGCAACAATGCAAACGACGACTCTGGGACAACCCAACCTTCCGTGGCTGCAAAGCGTGCAGCTTAACGTGGAGGGGTCATCGAGTGTCAAATGCGACCGAGTGCTTTATTCCATATCCAGAGGCATCTGAAGGCATTCTTTAAAATAATCAGCACTGGAACCACCGCATTATTTTAGCATGCTTGGCAGAGACGATTTTGCTAAGTCTACAGAGTCCTTCCTTGTGGCTCCATGGTGAAAGATCACACATGCGAGTGTGGGCAAGTGGGTTGAATGCCAGTGGGACACGGGTCGTGCTGTCAGGCATGGCAGGATCACCTATTGGCGGAATAAAAAAATAACACTTCATCAATAACACTGGCCTTAAAGGGAAAACATAAAAAAATGACATGTTGGCCAATGGTCTTTCTCCATAGCACATAAGCCAGAGGGATAAAGTTGATAATACGAATTGGAGGCTGCACTCTGCGGGTTTTAAATTGGCATTTGAAGTTACCTCGATGTGTATAAGTTGTACTTTGTGCCGTACGTAGCCAACCATGATAATCGGAGGTGCAGGGGAAGAACAAACTAAAGACAAAAAGGAGTTCTAAAGAAGTGAGTTTGTCAATCTGGATTTAAAAGTGCATAATAGCTTCAGTGGCTTCCTAATATCAGAAGGAAGATCGTTCCAGACGACCGCAGATGCGCATCTTAAAGTGCACGATACAGTGACCGTTTACAAAATAGTAAACATTGTTTAAGAGACACTCCAATAATCAAGAAGTGTTTCTAATTCAACTAATTTACACAAAGTAAATTTATAATAGAGACGAAATCACAATCTGCAATGAGTATCATCTGTACATCAAGTAATTATCCTTTATATTTGTCGTGATAAAGCGTCACTGAGCTAGAAGTGGATTGTTTGGGAGAATCTGGCACGAGCCAATCAATAACACTTTAAATTGAAGAAAAAAACCAGTATTCAAAGTGCGTGACGTAGCAATGAAGATGCCAACCGCTGCCTTGTGTTGTACTGACACAAGGCATAATGCCCCCTGCTGCACCACCACAGTACTGTAAAAACGACCTGTGGGTATATACTTCGTAGCACACACACACAACTATTTGATTGTGAATCGCCCAACATAACGTTTATTCAGAGCCCTAATGAACAAAGCAAATCGCGGTAGGTTGGACCAGGTGTTTAATGGCAGTGTATTCAAGTGTTAAAATGTCTCATAAATACTGGCCATCCATTTAGAGATACTGTACCACACTAAAATGATAGGAATCAATTATAATCGCGACATTTTATGTCAAATCCTCGACGTGTCTCCAACGAATCTCGATACTGTTGTACAATTCTTACAACCGTTTAACACTACGATATAGAGCCATCTATTTTCACAAGACAGCATTCAGTCACCCGTGAATAAAAGTTCAGAGGGTTATAAGAAATAAGTGGGTTATCCATAAATGGGTCACCTTTGAATATGCATATTTATTTACAGGGAAATAGTCAGATACGCGTTTTGAAAAATGAAAAACTAAATAATCTTAGATTCACATTAAGAGTTGTATTCAAAAAGTCAGACTGCATGTTTTTGCAAGTATAAACTTTTATGCCCGAATGGAAATATGCATTTAAGCAGACATTTGTTAAGAGTGAGGAAATACAAATTCACATGATATTTGACTTTCAGCTCCAATTTGCAAAAAAAAATATGTAAATGTTCCTTCGGCGAGGGTGAACAAACGGAAGACGTACAATCTCGGTCTTTCACCTCCCGCTCAGCCGTGGCAATACCCGTCTCGGCACGCCGTCGAGCCAATGAAGTATTAATTACGAGAAAATAATGTACCGTACAGTTTTTTTTTGCCGTAAGATATGCACATCCGTGTATGTACTTTATATACACATACAGGGTTCGTCCAAAAAACAATTTTTAGATGAAAACGAAACAAAGAAGAAAAAAACAATGACCATCGAACAAAAGTTTTTTTCGGATAATTTGGTTTCAAAAACTGCCCACGTGCTATGCGATAACATTCCAAAATCAAATAGCCAATGAAGGTACTGCACGCTCAACTCTCGTGTCATTTTTGAAAGATAACACGATGTAACACAATTTTTGTTCTTGAGTAGTGTTATTTCGTAATTTGTTATGCTTAAAAAGTATAGAAAATGGATATTATTCCCCACCAACTTTACTTTTGTGACCAGGACAGTGATATTTTGAAATCTACATATTTTCTATGAGACAACGGGCGAATGTGTCTTTTCGTTCATATAAAGTCACAAATAAACAACATATGAATCAAAATTAGCACGTATTTATAAGTAATACAAAAATGACTACGAAATATTTAGAAGTGAGTAGTTTTTCGAGATTTACGATTAGACTGTAAATCACTCTCACGAATCAGCCCCCAAATGTAGTTTACATCATGTTCTAGATATACTGCCCCTGATAGCGGCGTTTAAAGTCCAGTATATCCTAGTGGAAGCGTTCACCTTGCTCCTCCAAGTACGCCTCCTGTTCTCCTTCAATTTAGTACGCTCCCATGTTCTCCTTGAATTGATCAAGATGAGCATCAAGGATATGGACTTTGAGGGACATCCTACAGCCCATTGAGCTGTAGTTCTTCACAAGTCTCAACCAGCTCCAGTTTTCGACCTTGCGATTGCCCAGGAAGCCACGAACCACTGCGACAAAGCTGTTCCAAGCCGCTTTCTCCTTACTAGTGAGCTTCTTGGGGAATTCATTGCACTCCAGGATCTTCATCTGTGGTCTGACGAAGACACCGGCTTTGACCTTTGCCTTAGACAGCTTAGGGAAGAAGTCTTGAAGGTACTTGAAGGCTGCCGACTCCTTACCTACAGCTCTGACAAATTGTTTCATAAGGCCCAATTTGATGTGCAGTGGGTGGCATCAGCACCTTCCGGGGGTCCACCAGTGGCTCCCACTTGACGTTGCTCCTCCCTACAGAGAACTCGGTCCGCTGTGGCCAGTCCCGCCTGTGGTAGTGCGCCTTGGTGTCTACACCTTTTGTAGTCATTTTTTATTACAGGTGGGGTGTTGACTGTTATGTTAGCCGAACATCTGTGTTGTATTGCATTATATTTCTAAGTTTACTAGGTTTTTATTTAAAGCTTTCGTGACTGCAGTAATTCATATTCTTAGCTCTTTCGGTGAAGTCACGTTGAAGGGAAACAAAATAATAAAATATATAAAACAATAAAAATTCTCACGACGTTTCGACCATAACACAAACGGTCGTCATCAGGTGTGTCGGTTTGCATTAATTTCCGGTTATAGCTAACATTTTCATGGGGAAATTTGAGACTGACGCCATCCAGACTGCCACTCTGCGCCCAACCTTATGGAAGAGGTACGTGGATGACACTTTTGTCATCTGGCCACATGGCCGGCCTGCTCTAGACCAATTCTTCGACCACATCAATTCCATACACCCAGCCATCAGATTTACCATGTAAGTCGAAAAAGATGGCAAGCTACCTTTTTTTGGATGTCCTAATAAATAAGAGACCTGATGGTTCAATGAGCCACTCTGTCTACAGGAAAGCTACCCATACGGATGCTTATCTGAAACCGGATTCCCAGCACCATCCATCACAGAAGAATTCTCTCATCAAGACTCTGTACCATAGAGCCCAATGCATATCCGACCAGGAACACATAGGCAGTGAACTCAAGCACGTACACCAAGCTCTTAAGGCTAATGGTTACTCCGACTATACAATCCGCAAAGCTATCACTCAAACCATGAAGAAGGACCCTCTTGAAGAGCCTTTCAAAACCATCACTTTACCCTACATTGCGGGGATCACAAAAAAGATCTCCAAAATCTTGAATAAACACAAGATCCAGGTCTGTTTCAACACATTACATAAAATCCGTGATCTGGTTCCGTCTGTAAAAGATGTGATTCCGGACATACAGTACCCTGGTGTCTACAAACTAAGTTGCCTCTGTGGTAGTAGTTACATTGGAGAAACCAAACGCCATGTCTCGGACCGCATTCGTGAACACAAAGCAGACCTTAAACACGGTAGGACCAACACCTCGGCCGTGGCAGATCATTGTTATAATTCAGTAGGCTCACATGACATTGACTTTTCCAAGACAGAGGTTCTTTGTAAGCCATCTGGCTACCATGAGAGATTCGTTCATGAGGCTATCCACATATACAAGCACAGAGACAATTTCATCCGAGAAGATGGATTCTGGCTTAGCAATCTTTGGAAAGATTTGATTAACCATTTCAGGTCTTAATTGATTGTTCACGCTTACAGTGGCTTTCAGACAGCATACATTAATTTTTCGTCTCCCCCCTCCTCTTTTCAGAACATAGATGGACTAGTCCTTCTAAATAAACTGCCAAATCGCTGCGTGTGGCGCTGACGTCTATTTTATAAATAAATAAACCGTTTAGAAATAAATACATTAATGCAAACCGACACACCTGATGACGACCGTTTGTGTTATGGTTGAAACGTCGTGAGAATTTTTATTGTTTTATATATTTTATTATTTTATTGTTTCCCTTCAACGTGACTTTACCGAAAGAGCTAAGAATATGAATTTACTAGGTTTGTTTTCTCTTCCATTTGTACCTGATGATGATTGCTTATGTTGCAATCGAAACGTCGTATGCTATTATTTAATTCATTATTTTCTCTTTCTACGTGACTTTACCGAAAGAGCCAAAGAATAAAACACGTATCATCAACAAGAGCAAAGCAAATATCGAGTCCACAGCGCTGCGTGACAGGTCTGGGGTGCTAGAAGTGTTAAAAATAAATACCTCTCCAACTTTCCAATGCCACGGGGTAAAATGGGTTGTCACGGAAAGAGTAGTGAATCCATTTAGTCACCGTATTTATTGCAGACTTTGTAGTTTGTTACATTGCAGAAAACAAATACATCAAATAAATAAACAATCCCCGACACCCGATAGGCATTCATGCAATTTTTGTTTTATCAAACCTTCTCCTGGGGTTATAGTGGTGAGGTTTTTGTGAGCAGATTGATGGGATGATCAAGAATAAGCGATGCATTTGCATGTGCTGGGTGCTTAAATTAGCAAGAAATTCTGAGCGCCTTGCATCGCTCGCATCTCAACCAGCCGAATGCCCAGCCGCAGTTGGATTTATTTATTACCTCGGGGACCCCCCCCCCCCCATATTCTAATGACAGCAGTCCCTATGCGGCAAAATGACCACGAACGCACGCGGTTATTTGCGTGTGGCGACGTTCGCCGTGCGAGTAACTGCACGCAGCGCTAAGTCGAGAGATGCACAGGTACGGTCCACAGTCCTGCGAGGATGGGAGACCGGAGCCTCCTCACAGACACCCCTGTTACGTGTTTGGGTGCCATTAATCAAAACAGATTTGTAATCTCTCAAATGTGTCCGTGCAAACAATGGCTTCAATGTTACACAACAGCCGAATGGTGCCGAACACGCCATTTCTCTAGCTTACATCGGCAGGCGTTCACGATTGGTGAACTAAAGAATGGCGAGCAAGCGCGTTCAGCTCCCTCTCCACTGCGCTTGGTCACCGCACAACACGCAACTGGCACGCGCGTACTTCAAGGCAACATTGACTAGTGAGCATGCCTCGTGGCTTTACAATGCGTGAAGAATATATGAACGTATACAGTCTTTTTTTTTCCACAAATGCTTAATCATTCCCCCATGTACTTTACAGGCCAGATGTATTGGTACTCACCACATTTTACGGTCAATGAGTGTTATTATTTTCTCTGACAGTATCTACAAAGTAAGCAACCACTTAACTAAAAAGAAAACAATCCTCACCATAACACCAATATTTTGCCGGAAATGTGAAAGACTTCCGTCATTGCCACATACGAATGTACATGTATACATGAGGACACCAGTTTACATTGGGCAACATAACTGTTTACATGTTGAAGTTGGCTCATTCAACATAATAAACAGGTCCCTGCAGGGTGGGCTGGTAGAATTTCGCAAATGAGATAATGTGACTTCCAAATGTTGGGTGCAATAAGACATATCAAGTCTCTGCGCTGTCTATTGCTGATTTTACACGCAACAGCAAGAGATTTCACTTCGTTAAAGTATTGAAAGGGGACGGACGGACGGACACATTAATCTATTGCAGGCTGGTAGACTCAGTTTACAACTTAGTTCCTACCAGTATTATTTATTTACCAGGAAGCCACATGGAGTCCAATTAATTTTTTTCAGAAGGGTCTTGCATTTTATGCTTTTAAATTCATTTATTTTCAGCCAATGAATGTGAATGTATGTTGAACTTATTTCACACTGTATGTAGCCAACCGTGCTAATTGAGATGTGGGGGAGAAGGACAAACTGAACACACAAAGCAATTCTACAGATATACGTTTTCAATCTAGATTTAAATGTAGATAGCTCCAGTGGCTTTATAATATCGGACGAGCTTTCTAGACGGCCACAGAAGCGCATCCGAAAGCACGCAAGTAAACTGTTGCAGGATGACAGTGCAGAAAGAAGCAGATTTGGAAGAGAAAAAACGAGTGAAAACGGGATGACCCAAAGATGCATGAATTTATCTACGGTTGGAATTTATCAATGAAGTTGGGGTCAATCAGAGCACAGTAAACCAATTCAGCACCCTCTTTTGCATCATTATTATCATCTTCTCCAGCATTTAGTGTACCGCAGTATTTTATCTCAAAGATAGAATCCACCACGTGGTGCAGATAAATGTGCAGCCCTGCTAATTATTTTCTCATGCTAATTCTGGCAAAAAGGCCTCCGTTAGACGGAGCTCTAGAGAGCCGCTCTGAAGGGTATTTGGTCTACTCTTCCATGCTGGTCAGATGTGTCTTGGAAGAGGTTTACTTGACTCCACCACACACAACCGACCAACCGACTGCGGGATGCCCGTTCACTCAAACTGCGAGGTGGCCAGAGGCGGGGGGGGGTGAGAAACTTCCACCATTGTTTCCAATGCCGAGCTGGGAGATCGACATCAAAGGGGCGACTTCGAGATTGCAAGTCCGAGGTGCACACCATTGCACCACGTCAGCGTCCCGACACTTGCAAGTCTATTCGTTTATATATTACAGTCTTAACTAAAAAAAGTGGATGTTTAAAAACACAATATTGCACAGCTTATCACAATTGGTTTGGTTTTGCCCCAAGTGCTTTTTCCATAAAGTCTGCCAACTGCAAACTGGTGAACAAAAAAAATTACAGATGCTTATTTGTTAATGCAAACATGAAAGACACAAACAGTGGTTTAGTGGAGTCCAAAAACAAATTGGCCTTGAGTCAGTAAATTTGTTGAAATTCAATTATGAATTCACCATTGTGTACACATCTGAATATATTTTGCGTACACAATACGGCACTTTAAGTATTGTATGGTAAACGATTAATACAGTGCCTGTTTCTATCATTTTGGACGACAGATAATGCTGTGCATTAGAGCAAAATGGCATTTTGTAAAAATGTTTTTTTGTAATAAGTGTCCTACAGGAGATCTCCTTTTATCCACGGTGATATGGCAGACTAATAACCGTGGATCCTTTTATCGGTAGGACGATCTGCAATTTGACTCCTCTTATCCACGGGGGAAATATTGCAAATAACCCCCATGGTTAATCGGGCGAATTTGCCACGTGACCCCCTCTTATCCATCTGAAACAATGTAATTATTAGGAAGCAACTTTGCTAAGCACCATGGGTAAAATCACTCATAACTGCTTATATAAAAATAGGGCCATAGATACAAAGATAATAGGAGTTACGAGTACATAGGGGCTTGAATAACAGAAGTTCTCCCGTACATCAATAACTTGAATTACGCATCTCTAAAAAAACCGACTTATCAAACGCCAAGGATAATTTTCTTTTGCATTTGCATCGTCCTTGTGCTGTTCACCTTCTGGCATTATTTGGTCTAAAGCACCAGTGAAGGAAGCCATGAAGGAGGCTCTCTGGTGTAGGCCAATCAGCTTCAAGGACAACGCATACATCATCTAAAAATATTTACCTTTGCATGTTTTACCCACAATTGTGTGTGGTTAATGCCGACTTGATGTCTCGTAAGAGCTGTCTATTTGGTGTTTGTTTGAACATCTTAACACTCCTGTATTATATCATCAACTGTAATATGCTCTAGTATGGACAGTTTTTACGTGAAAAATCGCAAATTAGCGAACCTGGCTGAAGCGAGGACAGGAGGGGCTCACGGGGCAAGTATTCACATTCGTTTTTATCGGAAGTGGAACGAGACATCTGGCGATTGCTGCGAAATCTTCACTTAAAAGCATTACCTAGCACACTACTTTGGATTTAACTGAACGCATTATTATACAACACTAATTTGTTCCGATATGGAACCGAAAATACAAATATATTTTTGCCACAACTCTCTTTAGCTTAAAACAATAAATAATAACTACAATTGTCAACATTTAATTGCTTAAATATTTGAAAAATTTCAAAACCGTCAAATATAAAATTTTAGATTACTCAATGAAGACAAGCCATTGTGCCCATTAAGTTCATCTCAGCACTGTCTGTAGATTGACAATAGATTTAATCTAAATTGGTAACTCTACTAAAAATTGGTCCAAACACTTGGGGACACAATTTAGTGGAAGACTTAATTATGCAAGCCGACAACACACTTGTGGCAATAGCCATACTTGGAGCTAAAGCTGCAGCCCTGCAGTTGCTTGGTCAAGCCACGACTGGAAGAAGGGGCCTCCACCAGAAGGAGCCCTCGAGAGGCCCCGCAAGGGTACTTGGCCTACTCTTTCAAGCACCCTGAAGTAAATTATGTAAATTATTACGAACCCCGATGCAGGTTCACATTTTATATTGCAAAATAGTTTAACTGTGAACCCATGGGCAGGGCACGTTGAGTATTCTAGCTGTGGGCAACATTTGTACCTTGACTGAATGCATACATTGCAATATCATTATTCAACTAGATTTGAAGCTTTCGTGACTGCAAGGATCCATACTCTTTGGTTCTATTCGGTTAAGTCACGTAAAAAACAACAAAAAATTAAAAATTCACGACGTTTCGGCCACAACACAAGTAGCCTTCATCAGGTGAAGGGACCAGACTGTCCAGAGGACAGCGCTCGACAGTCTGGTCCCTTCACCTGATGAAGGCCACTTGTGTTGTGGCCGAAACGTCGTGAATTTTTAATTTTTTGTTGTTTTTTACGTGACTTTACCGAATAGAACCAAAGAGTGTTATTCAACTACTCTGCACAAAACTGAAAAACATAATTTTTTACGGACTCAACACCTCACCTTTACTGTTTTGTAATTAGCTTAAAAAAAGTTTAAATGAGACTCTGCTCATGGAAAATCATGAAACATGGCATTGCATAAAATGTAAGTTTCTAATAAGCAGCAAACTTCTCTAAAACGTTAAAGTGGTTTTAAAGAAGGCACTTAAAGCACACGCATACAAATTAATTCCTGCCAATTATGCTCAATTCAAGAAATACTCTTTTAAAATGGGTCTGTTTAAATATTTGTAATATTATACAACGTAGCTTGCCAAATACTCCCTTAAACTCAACCATGGCATTCCAACCATGACACCGAGTTGCACAATAAATCTCCCCACGTTCCACTTTCAGTTAATTCTAATAAGGATTCTGATCCGTGGCCAATTAACAATTAGCGTCACAAAAAAACAAAACTGGGAGCGACACCGCAGCTGCATGCGGCCACAGACGCCGAGGCGGGAAAGACATCGCCGACTCCCATGGCGGCAGCAGCAGCAACAGCAGCGGCAGCCCTACTGAGCACGCACGACGCTACCATTGCTGCTGCTGTTGCTGCTGCTGCTGCAGAAGATCAAAAGTTCCCGCACCATCTCCTCGAGCGTGTACAGGTGCTGGTCGGGGGCTTCGGGCACAAGCCTCCTCATGGTGTTGGCCAGCTCAAAGAGGTACTCGGTGTTCTGCCCGCTGGGGCCGCTGCTCATCAGGATCTGCTGGGCGATCTCCTCCATGGGTGCGGGCCCCAGGAAGTTGGGGTTGTCCTCGGTGCCCACGTAGAGCATGGAGAGGAAGGGCTCGTTCTCCACCTCACGGGGGTAGAACATCACGAAGCTCGTGTTGTAGCCGCCCTGCTCGCGGATGTCCAGCGTCCGCTTGACATCCTCCCGGAGGTCGTCGCGGATTTTATACGCAACCCCCCACACAGAATTCTGTCGCATGTTGAAAATGGGGGGGGGAGGGGGAATTGAGAGAGGGTTTTGGTTTGTAACGCAGAGATCCACATCTGCCACGATCATCCTACTGCTGGATGAATGTCTCCCCCAAGCCACTGATGCTTCTCACGATCCTGCGATGCGACAATCCATCCGGCACCCGCACGTGAACCGATTTCATCGCTCCATTCTCTTTGATGGATGTCCTCTCAGATGTGTTCCGTCCGTTGGTTCCGCATAGCAATGACATTTCATAGGTCGCTTAAATGCCACAGCAAATCAAAGCGCCGCTTCTGATGTGATTTTCCACTGATCTTAGCTGTAGCTGGGAATCGGGTTCGTAGCGCTGCACAGTTACCATTCCGGCACTACCCCACACGCCAAATAAATGTCATCAACGTGTGATTACATTTAGACTCATATTTTTATAAAGTGTATTTCAAGACGGCGCATAGTGAGAGGATAGGGGTAGTGTTACCGTACAGTGCCACTGAAGGTCAGCCGTGGTAACACTTGCAACACTGTGTCAGAAAATGGTTACTGCATGACCACATGTATTATACAATAATAACATTAGCACACGGTGAATTCAATACCGCGCATAATGGAACATTACCATGCTGGAAAAAAAAAAACATGTTTAATAATGGGCAGTACATGCCTTGAAGCCTGTGAAATAAGCTCTTTCAACAAGTGCACACACTGCAGTTTGTTCAGATGTTTACAAATAAAATAACCTTCACGAACATTAATTTTCCTTGCTTTCTTAACTGTGAAAACACGCAATGGAAACATACATTATTTCAAGCAGAATCAATCTCAAATACAATAACGTAAGGTTGTATTTTATTCATAGCGGTGCAATGACTAGCACAACACATTTAACAATTAGTGCGATCCGTCACATCTTCAGTTAAACACGGTGCTGACTTCACTAAACTATGACCTCACCACCACCACACCATGCAGCACCCAACAGGGTAACACCGGCACTACAGCCAACAGGGTAACACCGTGCGTTCTTCAACTGCCCACTTCCAATTTTTTCTTGAATCTTAATGCACGAGGTATCCACTCTTAAACAGCGTAGGGCTCTGTCAACATGCAAGAGATGCAAAAAGAAATTTACTTTCCGCATTGACCGTTGCGTTTCAGTTGTTAGCTTGAATTCCGGTTGATAAAACTATCCTGCGAAGCATCACATGTGCCAAGAGATACGAGTTCTCACAAGACAACTCTCAGCCAATGATAACACGAACAGCTCCAGGTTCGAAATGTTGTAATTGGTTCTTCAGGGCATGTGATGGATCCATCATCAGCCATGATCAATGTAATGCTGGTTGAAGGCCCGTACAATCACCCGAAAGTCCACTTAGCTCCCACACGCAAACAATGTTGTGGCTACATCTCATCTTCTGGACGTTGTATATATAGGCCTTTTTCCAAAAAAATTGCTATTCAAAATAATTCTGCCATTTAAAATAATAATAATAATCGATAAAATAAATAAATCTCCCTCAAACCCGCTACCTCCCACAAGCATCTGGAGGTCGTAAAAAGCCACTAAATAATAAACTCCGGAGCAAAGGGAGGTTAACGACATCTACAAAATCTCCAGATTGCCAAAGGACCGCATGCCATTACCTGCTTGGCGCTTTGGACAGTTCACAAACAAACATCCAGAATCAGAGGCACGGACACAGAGCACACGGCAAACGGACATTATAACTGATTTTTTTTTTTACGGAAAAAGTTGAAGCTTGGCTATAAGAATAAGTCGACATGATAGACTGCAGTCTATATTAGTGGCTTTATTATTACTTATTTTATTTCACCCTTATTCAACTCACATATTGTTTCTTATTGTATATTTCTATCTATGTAACTTCACCAAGAGAACCAAGGAATGTGGATTCTGGCAGTCAAGAAAGTGAGGGCTTGGTTATATCTCCAGCCTCGGGATATTTCTGACCTCGAGAATAAAAAGCACGGATCCCTGGATGCACAGGGAGCAAAAGTTAATAAAACCCTTAAAATACCGGAGGTAACATCTAATAACATTACAAATCTTGGTTAAACATAAACCAAATAATAATCACGAGAGATTAGACCTAGGCTAATTCATTAGAGGTACAAGAAAATAGGTCAAACACACAAGACCAGATAAATGTATTCCATGAAATCAGAGCCTCCCCGGCCGCCTTTGTCTTCCAACAATTTGACACAAACACATGGTAGCCATGAATACGTATGAAAGGTGCGTCCCCTCCGTTAGCGGACACCGCAAAGGGAGGGGTTGGGAGTGCAAACAAACATAAATTTGATGTAAAGCAGCCGCCTGGGGTCACCAAGAGAAGAGGGGAGGGGGGCAATCAGGTGCGGCCGCGGGGGGAGAGCATGACGGAGTAAGCATCTGGTTTTTTTCTCTCGCAAGAGACGCGCAGAGGGGAGATTTTTCGGATACAAACAGCAACACGACACACACAATTGAGCTTGGCAAGTGACAGCTCGGCAAGGGACAGCGAGGCAAGGGACAGCTCGGAAGAGGACAGCGAGGCAAGGGACAGCGAGGCAAGGGACAGCTCGGAAGAGGACAGCAAGCCAGCTCCGAGGCATGGCCTCGAGATCAACAATGCGTGTGGTGCATCGCAGAGAAGAGGGGCGAGGTGATGCTCTGTGCTGAGTTCGGCATGGACCGACAGAGTGTCGCTGAAAGTTATTCTCAGCGTTAAGCAGTCAACCTCGAGAAAGGGCGCAGAGGGCCAAGCATAGACCAAGAGAGAGCGCGCAGCAGCGCCACCAGCACCACCAAGCGAGGGTGACAGCTGCCAGCGGACAAGCGTTGTGCCGACTCGGCAAATCCAGCAGGGGAAAGAGCCTGACCGGCCGCCCGTGAGCAAGAGTGTCAGCGCCAGCGAGCGCGCCGTGGGTTCGACCCACAGGCACACCGAGCGGCACCGGCTGGGAACCAAGACGAGAGTGAGGAACTACAGCCAGCGGTCGAGCTGCGGGCGCTATCCGACGGGGGATCATCGCGCGCCGACGGCGAGCATCGTGCTGACTCTTCCACCCAGCTGTGGACAGAAACTGTGGCCGCCCCCGAGCAAGAGAGAGAACGAAGCCGTTTGTACGACCCTCCCCCACACTCACACCATCACGACGCATCGCCCGGCGTCTGCTTTACACAAAGAATTGAATAAGTGGCAAAGAAGACACACAACACGTATATCGGGACAAATAAGATCATTCCAAAAAGTTATCTTTGTGTTTCAAGAAGGGTTATTCCAAGGTGGTGCATTAAATATCAACTGATCGTGAAGAACATTGCTGCCCATTGAATTACGTGGATACGGTCATTTAGAAGGATTTTAGTCGTTTTTTCTTTGTAATTGCATAATCTTACCAATGCATAAATTGATAACTACTCTTGCCTTCGGGACATGTTTCTTGATTGCCTTCGTATGAATATCGTTGCATGAATTTTTAAGGACTTTTCCTCTCGCCGTGTATGCTCACGTACTCTGAGGAATAATCGATTGTACTGTTACCCAGTTGACAAACGTGACCATTGAGGGTTAAATGTATGGATCAATGAGGGGAACATCTCCTGGAGTACTGTGTTGACAATTTCAAGCATAAGAGTCCACATATTAGAGTGTTAAGGTTTTGTTTAGAGATTAAAGTTGCTTAACACAGAAGTGTCTGAGTGGTGCCTTCCTAAGTTCATGCATAATAATCTTAATTATAAGAACTGTATCCTGCGGTGAGAATTTGAATTTGGAGACCTGACATAAACACACTAATACATAATCAGTAAATGTTAAAGCGAGAATAATTGTATTATACCGATTGATAATACGACCCTAGACAACGAAGCAAAGTTTAATCTAGCATCCTTACAGCACACCTGCATAACGTCATACAATTCACTGTATGATCCCGATTGATGATACGGCCCTGGGCAACGAAGCTAAGCCTAATTATCATAACTATCCACATTAGCATAATCGCATACATTCGCATAAATTTATACGATTATCTCTCTGATTAGCATAATTTATGCACATAATTACATAAAGTTACATAATTTCGGACAATTATGCATATTCCCAAAATTCATTTAATTTGTATTCATTTCATTAAATTTTCATACCCAACATATACAACAACGTGCCACGGACACAGGTGTAAATACACCATTCACTCGTTTCTGTACAATATACTCAACTAATGAAGATGCAACTCTTTTGATTTTATGGAAAAGGACAAATTAAGTAAAATGTATTTTGTTTAACCATGATAGAGTCTCATCTGCAAGAGTGGCCTGGGCCACCAATATGACAAATAACAAAATAATTCAAAAACAAAGATGTAAGATTGTTCTTGATTGTACAGCTACAGGGGCAGAGCAAGCTACACGAGGCCAGCTATTAACAGGGCACGAGGTCTGCCCAGCCTGATTGGCTCCAAACATTCCAAAAGGGAAGCACAAAGAGACCTCGTAGTATTGGCGCACTTTGACCTGCTGATGGAACCATGAGTCAGTAGGTTGGACAGTCAGCTTCCACGCGAGGGATGAAATGAGCCATCCTTACGCTGTGGGAATTTTTATTTTTTGAAGCGCACCTTTCAGTTTTACGCTAAACACGTTTCAACATTCCACGTCAACACATGTAGCCCGTAGAGCTATGCGAAAAAGACAAATACAACGCTGTCAATAATACATTCATGCCAGTTTTGATTCATTTATTAAGCATTCAATTATGTTACTACCTCATCTTACAAGAAGACATCCGAGTCTTGCACAGGGCCAAGAAGGGCCAGAGGCAGGGGTTAATAAATACCGCATTCATTGTGTGTGACATCAGTCAGTACAACTCAAACGCAGTGTCAGCACACATCATCTGTTTGCAACTCGACTCATTCATCGCGCGTAATGTCAGCCACAGACTGACTCCACGGCTTAGGTTCTACGGTGGAAAACCAACCTGGTGCGTCCTGAACGGCAACCCTGAATTACATTGATTCATTGCATCGAACGCGGGGGGAGGGAATAGTTATGTCTATAATATACCGTGTGTATGGAAACCTTCAAGCAGCTCATGTGTATGCAACACTAAGGTACTCACCCCAGGGTCTTTCACCAGCGTGACCACTCTGCCAGGCTGCCAATAGACAAAATCACATTCAAAGTTACTGAATGCAGCACACACAGTTCACGCTCTGGGTAATACTAATAGGCACATGCTGTAAGAAGAACAAAGCATACATTAAGCATGCTGCCCCATACTTTAGTCCAATGTTCACCGGATTTAAATTAAATTCTGACATTTGACAAATCCAGGGCTGTATTACAAAAGATAAAAAAGTGCAAACTGCTGGCAGAGGAGTCCACCTCCACTCGTGGGACCCTCTGGAGAGACCCTCTGGAGAGACCCTCTGGAGAGACCCTCTGGAGAGACCCTCCAGAGGGTCCCTCTGGAGGGTCCCTCTGGAGGGTCCCTCTGGAGAGACCCTCTAGAGAGACCCCCCAGAGAGACCCTCTGAAGAGACCCTCCAGAGAGACCCTCTGAAGAGACCCTCCAGAGAGACCCTCTGGAGAGACCCTCCGGAGGGACCCTCTGGAGGGACCCTCTGGAGAGACCCTCCAAGGGTCTTTCCAGAGGGTCCCTCCAGAGAGACCCTTGGAGGGTCTCTCTGGAGAGACCCTCTGGAGAGACCCTCTGGAGGGTCCCTCTGGAGAGACCCTCTGGAGGGTCTCTCCAGAGGGTCTCTCCAGAGAGACCCTCCAGAGAGACCCTCTGAAGAGACCCTCTGGAGAGACCCTCTGGAGAGATCCTCCAGAGAGACCCTCTGGAGGGTATTTGGGTCTGTGCCATCCTGGCCAGTGATTTCAGCGATGCTGGCTTCGGGCTCTGACCTCCGAGCCACCCCGGCCACCTTTGAACAAGATTTTTAAAAAAAATATCACTTTCAACGTGATGTTGCTTCAGTGCACACAAGTAGCACATTGTGTATATTTAAATATATATTATAAACTGAATTGCTATGGCAGTTATATGAATAAGAAAAAGCTTTCGCAGCAACTACAAATTATAATTTTATCCCGTTGGCCATTCTAATGCAAAATACGCAGCCTGCTCCAGCACGAGCTGAATGGGAAATAAAAATAAAAAAACATCGGCTGGCAGCCACAGTGTGCACAGAGATCGGCAAAGTGCGAGCTACTGCTGCTTTCAATTTAACCAAAGACGGATTGCACGCATTTCAACGTCAGATCCCGCTAAAAAGTACAAGCTGTACAAATAGGGAGCGCATCACTATGCACGAGCGAGCACACCTCCCAGGCGGCTTATCGCCACTCCGCCGCTCGCCATGGCTGAACTTTCCAAACGAGCGGCTTGATTCGCACTTTCAGCGACACTCGGAACTCGGCTCAAAAACGCCGGGGCACAAGTCATGAATTGGTTTCCTTAAAAAAATGCAAAGTATAGTTAACTCTTCATCATATGTGGGCAGGTTATCCGGGTGTCCCGGTAAATTTGCTTGCGCAAAAATAAACATCTTGCTGTGTATGCTGGGTCAATTGTGCCGCTCCTCACTCATTGGGGGTCAGTGACTCAGACTCCACGTAGACCACAAACATGTAGGAAAGGACACAGATTTGTAAGGTGTTATAAAAACACATACAATAGAGTCAGTAGTATCTGCACACACTGGGGCAGAGGGGATAGAAGAGGACGTGGGGGGGGGCGACGGGCAAGGCCCCCCGTGCCGGGAAGCCCTCTGCAGGAGCTAGAATAAGGCAACTCAGTAGGCCGCCAACATTCTAGTATCGTTCAAATTGGCACTGAAAAACTCTGCTCAACTGTTTCGGTTCATAAAAACAAAATACTGTAAATTATAAAATTCTAGGATGGTTTTATTAAAGCCACGCGAAACTCTGCAAAGTTGTCTTGCCCATTGTGCGAATGTCATAAAAAGCATGGCGTAGGGTGACGTCATTGTTATCTAAAATTATACTCGGGTAATATGCTGTGCCATATGAAGAATGCGTTCCTCGAGGGTTATAAAAGACGAATGTAAATTACCCAGTGACAATACCGGGTGCAGAAAATAAACAAATGCAGTCTGTCTTCTTGAAGTATACTGACCTGCTATCCACTGCTTTCATTGTATAATAAGTATAATAGCTATCTTCAGCTGAGCAGCTTTGTTCGTGATGATCTTCAATAATTATTTCTGTAGTTTCATTTCATTTGTTGTTATAACTATGGCATCAGCAAATCTGAGATGGCTAACGTTTTTTTCCGTATCAATTTATTACGCCTTCATTTTTCTGATTAACTTTTCAGAAAACTAATTTAACTGTTGCCGTGGTATAATCTCAGTGATGGCATGCAACGAATATAAATGCAGGATTGCACAGAACCTAAGAAATTAAACTCTTGAGTGCGGACTCCATTTTACATGCAATACAATCCCGTAATTGCAATAAATAGACCTTTTTGAAAAATTGCATGCAATCAATGCATGTAAGAGAAAAGAAAGCCACGCTTTATTCACCTCGCGCCATGCTGTTTTCACAATAAACAGGTTTGCGTGACTTTAATGCATTACATCATTGAGCCTTCGGGTGAAGTGCATGGCAGTTAGGCGTACACAGACAAACTGTCTGAAAACATTCACCCCCGAGGCAAAAACTGAATCTGCATGTGCCTGACGCATCTGCTAAACAGGTCTTATTATCAAGTGATCGCGAATAATCAACAAAGTTATATCATATTCTCACGTTGCATTTGGGATAATGGCGAGAGAGCGTGCGAATGAGACCGAAACAACGCGAAAGAGATTTGTAAAAATCAGATCGCGGATTCAACAGAATCGCAGCCCTCATTTGTGACAATTGATCAAATTGCCAAGGTGATGTATCATTACTCCCAAATGTTACGATCATCTCAATCCATGACTGCCATCACAGTCATTCCATCATCATCATCAATTTTTATTATTGCAGATAAGAGGATGGATTTAGAGGCTCAATGTTGGTTGCCTTTAATTATAGAGGCACGGCACGTAAAATAGGATCCATTTAGCACTCGTATGCAGCTCCTACTCATTATTATTATTATTATCTGAAAACCTACAGATAATAGGAAGATGCCCATGATCGGCAGCCCGGCTAGTCTAGTACCCATATTCCTTTGATTAAGTGGAAGGAGCCATATATATGGGGACTAGAAACGTTCTATTACTTGTGAAATACAAGCATAATTTAAAGACTGCAGTCAACCTGGCGGACATTAGGCGTTGCAAATAAGAGAGCTGCGGATACGAATTTATAGAATTTCCCCGCATGGAAAATATATAATAAATGTCACAGTTTAAACATGCGTGCATATTAATGTGAAACCATTACAAGGCAGCACAGCATTTCCAATTTTGCAAATGATGATAGAATATATATAGGTAAATTAAATATCAACTGTGAATACAACCAGTTGAAGCCACATATGGTATCACATCATGAAATCGACGATACAGGCGCTTAGATAATTTTACTTGCCAAACTAAATTGCTGTAATGTCATGATTACACTGTACCATATTCTCCGGATTGTGAGGTGCTCTGGAAGTTAAGACGCGCTCCAACCTTTGGGTCATTTTTAAACAAAAAAAAGTTGAAACTTAGAATACGCCAACCGGGAAAAGCGGGGAACATTGGTGTCATATATAAAATCAGGGAGCGTGGCGCAGACATTGGAGAAAAAGATTGCCTCATCATCTGGAGTATATGGTAATGGTATAAGTGACAGCATGGTTGAATGTAGCCAGGCCCAATCATGTTATTTAAACCTGGTCGCACATGTAATGGTGGAAGTAGCCATGATGGCAATTAAGGCCACTTGCCGGATCATAGGGATGCACCCCCAAGTTTTGCTTTAAAATACAAAAAAAATGGATGGTATAATCCGGAGAACACAGAAACTGAAATGAAACATCGAAACCGATGAGTCACGGTTAAATACCAAAAGTACGTTGAAGTGCAACGCAATTGAATGTAGCGGTGCCAATGAATGTGAGCACTGGTATTCAGAGAAGCAACCACGAGTCTGAATTCATATGGCAAACCGTGGCATAAATGACAAAGAGTAGCTCGCTTACCACAATTCTAACACATTTTAGACGTTTTGGTGAGGCCATACCGTTCATTTTGGCCAAACAAAATCTCAAGTGCCTTTAAGACAACAAAAAGTAGCCCCGATGTTTGCTGACGTTTTAGCGAATGAGTAAAACATTTCATTAAGTTGATTCTTCGGAAGAAAGGGGACATTGTTGCCAAACCGTTTTTGATGTTACTGTCTAAACATATAAAGCCTCTGTAATTTCGGCAGTACGTTTTAAGTTTAACGATTTACTTTATATTGGCTTTTGTTGACGAAAAAAATAATGGGATGCAGTGATGCATACATTTATCAATAAACAATGTCAATCGCTGAAATTCACTTCCGATTCACTAAAGGCAGTTGCGAGAATGTCAGTATGTTGTGTTCGTATACTGGAGGCTTGATGACACTGGTCCATAGCACTATTGCTACATGCAGTGCAATATTAAAGGGTCTCCAAAATGGCACAGCATGCTGATTTTTAGAAAAAAACATCTACAAATAGTCCATGAAGCTGTGCTTTATGTAATAGAGAAAGCAAAACTCTGCAATTACAATCTAAGGTAGAGCAACATAATGTAGTCACTGTTTCTTATACAGTGAGGGAAAAAAGTATTTGATCCCCTGCTGATTTTGTACGTTTGCCCACTGACAAAGAAATGATCAGTCTATAATTTTAATGGTAGGTTTATTTGAACAGTGAGAGACAGAATAACAACAATAAAATCCAGAAAAACGCATGTCAAAAATGTTATAAATTGATTTGCATTTTAATGAGGGAAATAAGTATTTGACCTCCTCTCAATCAGAAAGATTTCTGGCTCCCAGGTGTCTTTTATACAGGTAACGAGCTGAGATTAGGAACACACTCTTAAAGGGAGTGCTCCTAATCTCAGCTTGTTACCTGTATAAAAGACACCTGTCCACAGAAGCAATCAATCAATCAGATTCCAAACTCTCCACCATGGCCAAGACCAAAGTGCTCTCCAAGGATGTCAG